TTGCCCAGCTGTTTAATTTTAAGTTTTGGTGCCACTGCAACTGCACAATTGTATATAACAATTATTTCAAATATGTTCCTCTTCACACGCAGCCGACTGTGGCCATTTCTTGGAAACTGAGCACGTTTGTCAGCCCTTGTGATAATTTATGCAAGTTAATAAGCCATCTCTAGGAGGGATGCGAAAACAAGCGTGTTTCCTATCACGTTTGAATACTTGACTCTGGCTTTGCACTAAAGTAGGCTAAAGGAAGGGGGTGGGGGAGTGAATAGATTCAAGGATCGACGGATTAGACCTTGAAAAGCCAAAGTGATAAAGTGATAAATTTGACGGATTTGGGGATCAGCTGCGAATTTTGGCCGTCTTCTAGTTCGCGTTGATCCATAACATTGTTCAAGTTGACATGTTGGTGTTCTCTATTTTTCGGTCTTTTTCATTAAAATTGGTTTGAATGTCATTTTTCTCCAAAAAAAATTCAGCAACTTACAATACATTTACACTGAACCGGTTAAGCATTGCAGCATTCATGGTAAAATCAACACAGAAAGGTCTGCATTTTATTGCATTAAAACTACGGCACAAAATAATCTGGATTCAAATTTGGAAAAACGATAGTGTCGGATCGACTGATTGCCCTAACACTAGCACGGATGGGCGGTTAAGCCTACCCCCATTTACCCCCCTCTAGAGTGCTTATTTTAGAAGCGCGAGTAATTGATTGAATCACTATATATGGATTACTAGCCTGCACTCAAGCACTCTTGCAAGTCATGTAGACCTTTCCACAAATATCATGTAAAATCGCCTAAAGATCTTTCTGGAATTTATCAAAATGATTTCTAAGTATCACAAAACAATTTCTAAATATCTCGAGAAACCCTCTAAATATCTCTTATTTTTATTTCAAAATAGGTCAATTTTGTATTACATAGGCAAACATTTTCAAATATTTCTTGAAAACAGTAGTACAAGAGTAGTAAGAGTTGGGGAGCATCTGCCATTTGGAAAATTGCTGCTTTAGCACTTTTAGTAATATGGAATTAATGGGAAATCGATAATCTGGATTGTTTCTGTTATAGAACTGAGTATTGCCTCAAGAAAACAGCGAGGAAAACCCAGGGCTCAGCCAAAAATGCAATTAATATTTCTAAACATCTCTAAAATCTCTAAATATCTTTATGTTTTCTAAATATCTCGGAAACTTCTAAATATTCTCAAAAATATTCGGATATTTGTGGAAAGGCCTAGGAACACAAATAGTGCGGGAATTGAGCTTCTTTCTCTTTATTTGAGAATTTCCGGAAGGATAATTAGATGACTTTTTTAAACCGACCGTCAGTTTATTGCGTTGGTCTCGGTTATCTTTGCACTTTGGTAGAAGAATATTAAAAATTACAGTGAGTGAAGCTTAATGACTGGTCTCGAGGGGAACAGCGAATTTTGTTTCCCGAGAATCTCCATGAGATTCGGGGGAAACAAAATTCACTGTTTCCATAGGGACCAGTCATTAAGTGATTTGTTATATAGCAAAACAAATTCCCGCAAAACAAAATAAATTCTTCCCCGCTGAGATTCCAGCGACAACATCTGGCCACCTTCAACTGCACGCTCTTATCATGTGTAACAGCGGTCAACATTTCGCGGGTAACGGTGAACTTTTTCCCGTTTGACGTCATAGGTCTCGCAATGCTGTCATGACATTTGGCGGTAAACAGTTTCATTGTTAGATGCCATGTGACCATGAACTAGCCAATGAATGGACGCGCTGTAGCTGGAAAAACGCCAGCTATAAAACAATAAATATTAGCCTTTTAGTACACTCAAGAGATTATCAAAGTGATCTCTTGTTACACCCCGATAAGTATGCTCAAATTCCCTGCACCTTATTTGTCAACTGTATCATAGTTTTAGATCAATGAACGAATTTTCTCTCAACGAGCTGATAAAAGATAATTCTAAATTATTTCGGGTTATAATCCATCTAATATTTATCTCGCGTGCGATTGGTCTAAACGCGTCATCTGACTGAGTATGCCCCAGCTAAAACTGGGAAGTATGCGAGTATATTTGCCAATTTTCGGATTTCGCGTGTTGCGAAAAATATTGGAAGGACAATAAAAACAATAGCCTCTATTTGACTTTAAAAATCTGCTCAGATATTTGTCCCTGGACACTATTTGTTCCTAGAAGCTCACAGTTCACTTCTATTCACTTTCTTTGTTCGCGAACAAATATCAGAGCATAATTTCTTTCCAAATGAAGGTTATTTTTTCATTTACTTTGTTTAACTAATTTAATTGTTGTCAATTTCCTGTATTGTTATTAGGTCACTTTTACCTTTCGTTTGGCTTTTCGAAGATCGTTCTCCTTGTCATACTACTGCGACGAGGATACGAAAAGTCAGGGAGTCCTTATTGGAAATGGAGGTTCATGGACAACAACCTGCAGCGACGCTTCCAATCCACAGTGTAATTATAACACCATATACCTTGCAGATACTGGATTTTATTGTACTGACTTCAGTAGCAATGAAGATTGGTCCATGGGTGAAAACAGTTTCAGTTATACTTTTCCATCATACAACTTGGTGTGGATTGTGAGGTATGTCCTCTTATTGTGTGGGGATTTCGGCAATACCATCAACAAACAAAACCATTATTGGGATAGTGTAAAATGAAATATCAGAGGTCATATCTATAAGCTTGGTTCAAGTTTTGTTTCAGCCCCAAAGTGACATCAGTTTGGTAAAGATTAATCCAGGTAAGTTAAGGCTACAATGAACGAGCTACAGTATCGGACATTCAAACAGACGAAAATAAGTTGAAAAATTGAAGTCGCAGCAGGCTGACCGGTTGGTTATTTACAAAGTGTAACCGAGGAGTTGAACTCAGGGGTACTGTGAACATATCACGCCCGTGGCAAGAAGGGAGGCTTGAACCCGAGATTTCCTGATTAGAAAACCAGCGGCCCCAAAACCACGCTTCTCAG